AAAAAAAAAAAAAAAAAAAAGAAGTTCAACAACATTTTGTCGCATCCTTATATATTCTGCTAAACCAACTAACCAAATTCAATTTCTTTTTCTTACTTGACTTGACAATTCCATTCTAAAGAAATACCTAAGAAGTAACTTATAAAAAATTAGTGGCCCCCAATTTTTGCATTATTTATCAATTATTACAATTAGCATGTGGACAAAATGTTTGCAAAAAAATGTCAAAGAATCTCTTGTATAAAATTAGTGGCCCCTAATTTTTGCATTATTTATCAAATTCAAATAACATGTGATCCTTCTTCATGCCTCATTCTTTGTCCTTCTTTTAGTTTCATTGACAATTAATTAGGAGAATTGTCAAATTGATACTATAAAAGGGACAATTAGAAAAGTTTTTTTTTTTTATGGGAAAGAATGCGAGAATTAATGATTTTTAGATATCAACCATGTTGTATATGTTTTAATAGATTATTCAACTTTTTTTTTTGTTACAATATGTGCTACCTAAATAAAACATGTCTTTATTAGTTTTATTGTTTTAATAATATTACATTGTTGTATAAAACACTTCATATAAGAATTTTATATGAAATTGCTTATATTCTCAAGGTGAAATTGCTTTTAACAGAGTTTTTCCTATTTCTTAAATCTTTTGAAACGACTTTGATTATATTGATGGTCCCACCAATATTTGCTAATCTTTGTTACTTACTTCCAATATTTGCTATTCTTGAGTGATATTTTTCACTCTACGGGAAAACTAGTTGTTATGTAATTTTTAAATTATTCGTTTTTTATTATTGAAAAGACAAAGTAATTTAAATTAACAAGCGCAAAAGAAGATAATAGGGGTAAATACATTGTTCAATGTAAGTTTTAAAAGCAATTATAAGTTTATCTTAAGTATACAACAACAACAACAAAAAAAAAATTAGTGTAATTTCACATGTAGAGTCTGGGAAGGGCAATGTGTACGCAAGTCTTATCCTACCTTGTGAAGGTAGAGAGGTTGTTTCTGGTAGACGCTCGGCTCAGTAAAAGCATAATCACAATATGGTTGAAAAGAAATACAGTAATGGAATTAGAAAAGACACAGTAATAAAAAGCAGTAACAACAACAAGAAATAAAATAACCGAAGCCTCCTAGGTATACGTATTATGATAAGTTGGTATTTTTGCTAACTTAGTCATACCTTTTTCTTGAGTTTTAAGGTTCTTTAAGTAAGATTTAATAGCCTTAACTAACTTAATGTGGTTGATTTCATGTGCGTGAGCTTAAATGATATAGTTGATGAAAGAGCGAGTCAAAAAAGATGAAAAGAGATGAAATTTGAAGCACAAGATTGAAGAAATTGAAGATTGAAAAGTGAATAACAATGTCTCCACGAAGGTCAATCGTGAAGCCGAAACTAGGGGTGCAAAAGTGCATGAAAAATGTTCTAACTCAGGAAAGTTTGGAGCAAAGTCTGCCAAATTGTACGATCTTGAACGTTTCTACAAACTACACCACGATCTTAAAGGGCATTTGAAGCAAAGAATTGTGCAGGTTCTGCCCAGCTCCACGATCTAAATCGTGGAGCCATTTCAGCCCACGAACATCATGGTCTCCATGAACAAAGCCACAGCTGGACACAGTAGGGGCACTTCTGTCAGATATAGCAAACGATTATAAATAGCAATTTAGGTCATCTTTTAGTTCATCTTTGACCCCTTTGAATGTGGGAGAGAAACTTTTGGAGTTTCTCTTAAGAGTTTTGGGTGATTTCATCATAGTTTGTTCAATCTTTCTCTGCTCTCTTAGCTAATATGTTTAGATTATCATTTATCTTTGTATTTTCTTTCTTTATTATGTCCAGCTAAGCTCGTTAAGCTAAGATTGTGAACCCTAAGTGTGGTTATATTTTTGGGTTATTAATATTAGTTCTATATTCGATTAAGTTTTGTGTTATCTAATTATTCCATACTTTATTGATTGATTTTGTGGTTTCAAACACTAAATTCATGCTTATTTTGCTTGTTCTAACTTGGAAGAGTGGAACTTAGCTTAGATATAAGGTAATTAACAATGAATTAAGTGGGTTAATCACTTGATTAATGAAATCTAATTTGGAATAGTGTGATTTCTACTTCGGCTAATCAATTGCTCATTATTGAACCTTAGTTGTCTTGAAGATATATTAAGTTGGTAGAATAGAAATTGAGGCCATAATACATACTTAATTAACTAGAGTTGAACATTTGTGTACCCAAAAGCATAACCTACATGAAGGGAACCAATCCTAGAGCCTTTCTCTTATTTGTTACAGCTACATCTTTACTCGCACTCCAAGTGTTCGATAAAATTCCTAGACTAGCTTTTATAGTAATTCTAGAAGTAACTTTAGAAGTAATGAATAACCAATGTTTGTTTGAAGATTACATTAAGAATTACCAAGTTTACACATATTTGAACACTTTCATATACCTACTCCTTGTGGGATTCGACCCTAATCTTGTTGGGTTTATTATTACTAACGATCGTGCTATGCTTCCTTCGGAGATGTAGGATTGGACGTATGGAGTGCTATAACTCAAATGATTATAATGAGGCAATTATTGACATTTATATACATACTATACGAAACAACATCATGCATGTGCAAATTATGATAGTAATTGTTTTTTGATTTTTCTATTTTTTTCCCTTCAATTTCATGTCTTAAAGTACAGAATTATGTTACAATTGTACACTAGTTTCTTCATTTTAAGGCTCTAAACAAACCTACAAAAGTGTGTTTTAGTCTTCATTTTAGTATTACAGTTGATGTTATGTTAAAGAAAGAATTATATGAGTGTCAATTTTGCATCCCTAAGAATCATTATATGTATACAATCAAACCTCTCTATAACAGCCTCGTTTGTTCCGATATTTTCTGGCTGCTATAGTGAAGTGTTATTATAGAGAACATATATTATAACGTAATATTAAAATCGGTTCCGAAAAAACTTGGCTTTTATAGTAAATGATTGTTATATAGGAATGTTGTTATAGAAATGTCTGACTATATTTAAATTTATCATAGTTAAATTTTATCTAAAAGTATAAACTATACTTTAATTTATATCAGTCTTCTAACTAAGCTGGACAAATCTTCCTAAAGTAAGATCCAAATAGATTTTGAGAATCTTATCCAAATTCTTGCCAGGTAATCTCCTAAGATATTTTTTTTTTTAAATTAATTTTTTTTTTTTGGCCTTAAACACAAACTATATATATCTTTTTGAATTTGGAATATTTCATTACCACCTCACAATATTCACGCAACTTCACTATTAATTAGTTTGAGCAACAAAATATATCTCTAAGAAAAACTTTCAACCAAAAACACTATATAGATATAAAGTTTTAGCAGTAAAAGCAGCTTCGTCACCTATCTCTTTGAATATTGCATGGTGATTTGATAGAATAATCGAATTTCAATATAAAGACAAATGAAAACGTAACATTCATTCTACATTCTTACTAGTCACTATCTTATGTGCTCAATATAAATAGAGATTGATATGTCCAAACAATGTCAATTCACCATCCAAATTTGAAACCTCAAACTTAATTTTTTTTTTCTTTTTCATTAAATCCATCCACCCAGACTTTCATCTTTTTCGCGTTTTTTTAGAACTCGATAATTAATATGGAGGGTAGTAGTTCTAAGGGAAAGAAGGCCATGCAAGAAAAGGAAAGTGGAAACAAAGGGAAGGAAGAGATCAAATATCGAGGCGTCCGAAGGCGGCCATGGGGGAAATTCGCGGCGGAGATACGTGATCCGACGAGGCAAAGCGCCCGACAGTGGCTCGGGACGTTTGACACGGCGGAGGACGCGGCGAGGGCGTATGATAAGACGGCATTTAACCTAAGAGGCCATCTTGCTACCTTGAATTTCCCTAATGAGTATTATTCTCAGCTTTCTAATCCTCCTTATCACTATCGTACTACTTCATTTAACATAATTAATCCAATTAGAAGAGGATTAGATAAGGGAAATTCATCAATTGGAATTCAAGATAAAGAAATAATTGAGTTTGAGTATCTTGATGATAGTGTGCTAGAGGAGCTTCTTGGATCAGAAGAGCCAAAATAACGAGAAACTAAGGTTGAGTTGCATTTCCCTTATATATATATAAGTTGCATTTCCATTTTCTAGAAAATGAAAAAAAAAAAAAAAAAAAAAAAAAAAAAAAAAAAAAAAAAAAAAAAAAAACTTATGTTGGGGGAAGAGGCGGACCCAGGATTTTAACGCGAAGGGGGCATCAGTATTCTACTCAACCAGTGCCCCTTAAAAGTTTTTAGTGTTCAGGGTGCCAAGTGATTTGAATTAATCATTTAAAGATATATTTATACATATACGTGATCTCTCCGAAGTTTACGAGGTCCCATGATCCTTCAAGTTTATACCTAAGTCCGCCTCTGGTTTGGGGTATAGTTTAAAATAGTCCGTTAAAGATATTTCAGTTTTAATCCTTTAAGTTTGATAAAAGTGAGCACTTTTAGATCTGTAAAATATTTAACAAACTCTGGTTGTCAAATTTATCGATAATTGCAAGAAAGAAAAGGGTTTAACGGGAACTCACATTTGAAGGAGCATTTTTTTGCAGTTTCTGCTATTGTTGATTCATTTCTGGCACAGTTCTAATTTTGGTGTTTCTTCGTGAGATTTAATTGGACTTTCCTGACGTTTATACCTTCTCGGTTATTCAGTTCCCATATTCTTTTTGTTATGGAAAATTAAAGAATAAAACATATTTTATGCCTCGTAAGATAAAGTTTAGCCCGGTTTGTGTTACCTTGGTCCTATACCTTTGGAAATTATCCACACGGCTATGAGATTATATGCCTTCATGAGACTTTGCAGACAGTTGCACCATGAATCCTCTACATGAGGTTGTCATAGGCTTTGTGAGGCGCAGAGGAGTGATTATATAGCCAAGACATATGGGTACCAATACCGGTGCTATTGTCCCCCTTATTGGTACTATGCCTATTTGTTGTATTTCTTTTCTTTTTATTAATAAAAAACTAGCCTTAGGCGCTTGCCTAGCGGATTGCGGAAAAAAAAAATGCCGATATCACATATATTTGGTGAGAAACCAAAGAAATAAAGTTTAAAACCAAAGAATAAGTTGCACTGTTCTGGTATCTTTCTAGAATGAGAAAATGGTCAAATGCTAGAGTTGATTGGAATATTTATACTTTTCTGTTGACTTATTACTATTAAAAGAAGATGCAGCATTGAACTAATTAGACCAAAAAGAAACCCCAAAAATAAATAACGGAAACGAAACTAACATAAAATAACGAATTTGAAAAAAGGTGTCTCTTCCACAAAAATATTCATTCAATTGAAATTTTTGTTAAGCACTGTTCAACCGCAAATTACATCGAAGTTCTTGACGACGGCACGATGCTTATTTTCTTCTCAACTTTTTACGAGCTAGAAAAAAATATTTTTATATATAATCACAATAATATTCCTCTTCCTTTCCGACGAGGAACAAAGTTGCTTAGCAAAACTTTTATAAGCTTTTGATTTCCCCCTACATTTTTTTCCTTACATTATATTTTCCATTTACACCTCAACTAAAAATGCAATAGACAATTCAGCTCATTTTCCCGCACAAAGGAGAAAGTTAATTAAAATCCAATAATATATTGTTATTCTTCCGTTGTTCAAGTTCTGATATGTGCATTTCAAAACCTTCATGTAGGGAAATATCACAAGAAAATAACAACAATACTGCAATAATATTATATGTGAGTGAAAATACACGAATTAGCTTGAGTCATGTTGGATATTGTCCTAAAAAACTATTTCAGTTATGTGAAATATTTCTTCAGGATTAAACAAACCTACCTTTATTTATTTAGAGGATATATGAATCAGAAAAGTTAAATAATACCAACAAGTTTGGAATAAAACGGAGGGAAAAAATAATAACAAGAGATGATGATTTGGTCAATAATAGAAAGAATAATTATAGTAATGATTAGCTAAAGAAGAAAATAATGATTAGCTAAGAAAAGTGTAAAAAGATCAATTTTTGTTAATATCTCTTACGGATGAACAAAAAAGCTATTTATAGAGATGTTATGAGTCTTCTTAAATTGCCAAGTGTTTAATTACATGAAAGATGATTGCCACTTGTTTTTGACTTAGTTATTTGGCCACAAATCTTCACGCAAAAGGTCACATACGCAAAAGGTCACATGGTAGATTTGCATAGCCACTTGAAAATAGATAGTACACTTATAAAATAAAAAGACATGTAGCTATTTAAAATTTTAAAAATACTGCCACAATCCCCACATATTTTTAAAATTTATAAGAGAAGGTTAAAGTAATGAAAGAATTGACTTGCTGGATTTGTATGGTCCAAATGTAATGGATTTGGTGTCTTCAAGAATATGAACCAAACTTAGACCAATAAAACTTAACTCACAAAATTACTGGTGAAATATAATATTTCTATGAACCAATAATTCTTATTGTAAGTCAGAGATTTTATCAATCACATTTCGACCCTCACAATTTAGTTGTTCGACGCAATTTTGCGCCACTAGGCCATGCGCGTGCCTGATTATTCATGAAAGCTCTAAAGACTAGGCCAAAATGTCATAGGAGCAGCCCACTCCACTCTCATATAGGTGAATCCATCGAGTGTATACTGCTTTTAAATACACCATCCATAAGAAATATGAATTCGTTAAGAGTTATAACTCAGTCTCTCAATTAGTAGCAGTCAAGCATTCTCTTTTAGTGCTTCAGTGTCAATATTGACTTGTTATTACCCATATGAACCTACTTCATGAGATATCCAATCACATAGGTTGTGTTACCATCTCTATTGACAGCATGTCAGCCTTAACCCCATCTATTTTGAGGTTTGAAGAATTAATTTTCTTCCTACAGGTTTAGTCAGAGGATCGGCCAAATTAACTTCTGACTTCACATAATCGATGGAAATTATTCCATCTCTCAGCAACTGCTTTATGACATCATGTCTCAATTTCATGTGTCTATTTTTACAATTATAATATTTATTCTTTGCAATAGTTATTGCCGCTTGACAATCACAATGCATAGACACAAGAGGCAATACGTCATTTATTAATGAATATTAGCTAAGAAGTTTCTTAGCCACTCAGCCTCACAACCAGCTAACTCTAGAGCTACAAACTCTGATTTCATAGTTGATCTAGCAATGATCGAGTTGATTTCCACGGTACTGCACTATCTCCAAGGGTGAATACATAACCACTAGTGAATTTTATCTCATCTGAATCAGAGATCCAGTTTGCATTATTGCACCCTTCTAAAGTAGAAGAAAATCCACTATATAGGATACCATAATTCATAGTTCCTCTCAAATATTTCATTAGTTTAGCTAATGTAGACCAATGTTCATTGTTGGGATTATGAGTATATCTAGTGAGTCTACACACAACATAGGTTATATCAGGTCTTGTAAAATTCATTAAATGCATCAGACTCCTAATAATCTGAGCATATTCCGACTGAGCAACTGGATCACCATTATTCTTTTTCAACTGAGAGTTAGCATCAAAAAGAGTGCTTACAGATGTGACATTAAAATATTCAAACTTCTTTAGAAGTCTTTCAACATAATGTTCTTGTGATGAGATTATGCCATCTTCACTCCTTACAACTTTAACTCTCAATATTATATTTATTTCACCCAGATCTTTCATATCGAAATAAGCAGATAAAAATAATTTAATGCTTTGCACAATATTTAAACTTATACCAAACATAAGCATATCAATCAACATATAGGCATATTATCATATAATCATTGTCTACCACTTTAGTATATACGTATTTATCCACCTCCATTGAAGAAAAATCGTTTCTCAGTGAGACTTGTTCAAATTTCTCATACCACTGCTTAGGATCTTGTTTAAGGACATACAGAAATTTAATTAATTTATAAACTTTATTTTCTTGTCCATGAATAACACAACGTTCAGTTTGAACCATATAAATTTCTCCTTCTAAATCACCATCTAGAAAAGCAGTTTTGACTTCTTCGTCACAGCCGGTTACCTCTCTAGTACTTTCGCAATCCATGTTTTTGTTTATCATTTGCTATACACATTCTTATATAGATTTGGTAGTTGTTGATTATTTTTCTTTATTCAATTTTGGCATGAATAAGCTTGAGATAATGAGGCTATCAATGCTAGTAGGAGGTTTATTTAGGTTCATGGGTTGGTTCATGTACGATTACTAGAATCCTGCAGGTATATTATAGAGGTTTTACCCAGCAGAGGAAGGCAGGGGCGGACCCACGTGGAGTCAAGTGGGTTCATATGAACCCGCTTCATCGAAAAATAACACTGTATATATAGGTATATTTTTGCTGTTTTCAGACAAGTAAAGGTATAAATATAATTTTAAACCCACTTGAAACAAGTAAAATGCCTAACTTGTTGGTAAAGATGGTTCCGCCACTGGAGGAAGGTATGTAGCTAAGTACAAGAAATAATTATTGTATTTGTGTTTTTAGTTTAGTGTTTGTTTGATGCTCATTTTGTAATAATAGGAGTATGGGCTTACTTCTGATTCGTTTGTTTTTACTATATTGCTTGTCATCGGGTTTGATTTTGATTCATTTGCTTATACAATATTACTTTTGTGTTTGCTACTCGAACACAAATTTAAGAAGCATATGAATTGTTTGATAAAATGTCATATAGAAATATTATCACTTGGATAATAATGATTTAGGTATGGTATTTTACTTGAGATAAGAGGGGTTGCTCTGATGGTAAGCAACCTCCACTTCCAACCGAGAGGTTGTGAGTTCGAGTCTCCCCAAGAGCAAGGTGGGAAGTTCTTGGAGGGAAGGATGTCGGGGGTCTATTTGAAAACAGTCTCTCTACCCTAGAGTCGGGGTAAGTTAGAAGGTTGAGAAGATTTAATGTTTTTTTATCATTAGTTAAATTAGAGTCGTTTCAAATGTTAAATTTCGAAGAACAATAGAAGTACCTCTGAGCTAGTGAGGCTTCTAAGTTGTGAGGTTACTCATTATCAATATTTTATTTGAAAATAAAGATATTATA